CTACGGACAATTTAGAATCACCAATTAACCTTTAACATGTTTTTGGACCTTGTGGGAGCCGGAGAGAACCCACGCTGCACAGGGAGAACATGCAAACTCCACGCAGAAAGATCCTGGGTGTCCTCACCAGGACGCGAACTGGCGACCTTCTTGCTGCGTGGCAATGGTGCTAACCACCAAGCCACATTGCAGTCCCTAAGCAGTTTCATCCATGTTTATTATCGTGAAATCGGATATTTGCATTACTGGTACACTGTTGGCTTTTTTTCCATGTTGACACAGAGAACAGCTTAGTGGTTTCTAGTGTCGTGCTCCCTGCTTAAAATGAGTTTTCTGTTTACCTAAGCCTCGTGGTTTCATTTAATAGGGGCTGAGTAGTTTTCCAAGGTTGATGATTTTATGTCATAAAAGTGCTACTTGAACAGACTGTGGTTTTCTAGTCAGACCTGTTTCTGTCCTGCATGTCAGGGTCTTGTACACTAACGACAACACAAGTACATCCAACACTATTCGTGTTACCTAAAACAGAATAAACAAGCTTACCGTGTCAGTGAAAATCTGTCACACCGGACAAACAGTGCTCCAATAAAGAGAAGTGTTTACTGGATAGTTTGTTATAAGCTACAGTAAAAATAAAAGATATGTACAGTTGTCCTCAAATGTATTCATACCCTTCCATTAAAGAAAAAGCAAAATTCACAATAGTCACTCAAAAAACTAGAAACTGAAAAAAGTAATAATAAATAAAAATTTGCTAAATTATACTTAGTGAAACAAGAAATTGCTTTTGAATTGTGGTTGCAAAGAATCATTTTAAAAAACAAACAAAACTGTCCCGGACAAATTAGAGCACTTTGCTGATGAGCAGTGAGCCAAAATGAAAATACCTGTCAACAGATGCAGACGTCTGACTGAGAGTCACAGAAAACACTTGATTGCAGTGATTGGCTCAAAGGGTTGTTCAACAAAATATTAGTTTACGGGTTCCATCATGCTTGTTTGCTTGTTGGGGATTTTTTTGTTGTCGTTTTTAATATTTCGATTGAACCACAATTCAAAAGTCATGTCATGATGTTCATTAAATTTCTATTTATTATTACTTTTGTCAATTTCAAGTTCTTTCAGTGACATGTTGGTTGGTTTTTTTTCCTTCTTTAATGGGAGGGTATGAATACATTTAAGGACAACTGCATATACATATAAAACACAACTTCACATGATTAAACAAT